AGCCAAGAAAAGGGCCTGGGGCTCTCAGCTCAGGGTGGGTGTGGGGGCTGCTGTGTCTGCAGCCACCCTGTGCCATCCCTGCAGGGACACGAGGAGCTCTCAGCTGGGCACACAGCAGGGAACTGGACAGCTTTGCTGGCTGAAGGGTTGTTTCCCCTTTTTCYTCATAAAGGGGATGTGTGAGATACAGGCCCTGCCCCTCTGGCCTGGATGTATTTCTCCRTGTGAGCTCATTCCTGCAATGTGTGCTGAACTCAGTGGCAGCTGTGGGTGCTCATCACTTCTCAAACTCAGGCTGTTAAGCTTTATGCCTCTGTCAGCAGGACCTAAATATTAAATAAATGAGGGACTTGTTGAAATTCAAGTATTGCATAAGATTTGAGCAGGTTTTAGKAAAAACACAGACTCTCTCCAAAAAAAACCCCCAACCAACCAAAAAAACCCGATACCATAAAACCAAAACTCAAACCAACCAAAAGAAGCCTAAAACTAAAACCAGCAGATTATTTTCATACTCCACCTTTCAAACAGCAAATACCTTAACTTGAACTTAAGTTCTGTAAGTATTTCTTCTTTCTTCCTATATTAATCTCTTGCTGCTCTTCCTGTGTTACAGAATAAATGTAGCATCTAGTCGGCCTAAGCGTGAATTTAAGCCAAAGCCTGTAATAACTACAACTCTGGAAATTGGTGATAATCAGCAGCACAATGGGATTGCCTATAGCTCTTCTGTGAAATCATCAGGTGAGTCTGTCACTGCAGAATTCCTGGGTCTGGAGATGTTTTGCAGATGTTTTGGTGCTGCAGGTATTGTACCATGAGAACAATGGATCCATCGGACATCAGTGTCTGTGCATCTGTGTCCCACATTTCTAAACAGAATGGGGAGACAGAGGAAGCAGGGGTCCTCTCCACACACTCTCACCCATCTGCAGTTTAGGTGTGCCATTCTGTGGGGTCTTCTGAATTGTCACTGAGGGTGGGATTAGAGAGGAGAGTCAGTGTAGAGAACAGTTCATTTCTTGCCTTTAGAAAACTGACCTCCCCATCYCATGCAAACAAGTGCTTTCATGCTKCATTTTYCCTGTTCCATATTGACCCTATCAAAGTACAGATCTTGGATTTCTCTGCCACTGTCACTCAAGGTAAGTCAGACCCATGGAGATGGGCAGGATGGTTCAAAGCGAGATGTGACACATCCAGCACAGCTGCCATTACAGTTCAGAACATGGAAATGACTTTTCCAAGTTTCACAGTCRTTTTTCAAGTGAAGTACCAGCTTCTTGGAGCAGAAATAGCATTTTCCTTTGGTCTGTAACATATGAGGGTTATTTACTACTCAGGACTCGCACACATTTGCAGGGCTAGATTCACATAAAGCTAATATTTATGTTGTTGTGAGTTATTTGGCTGCCTCAAGTAAATGCAGATAAAAAAAATCTCTAGTTCTAATTCAGTGTTATCCTCATTAATGAGCTGCAGCTGTAAGCATCATCTGGCTCACTTTAGAGCTCTTTAATTGCTCTATTACATCATAGCTTTCACTCAGTTTGTTTGTCAGGTTTGACTGATATGAAATATATGGATCTGGTTGCCACATGCTAAAATTTAACATAAGCATCTAAATGTTTACTCCCTTCAGCTATGAGGGAGACTGGGATTAATTATCTTAGCAAGCTTCCAGTTTGTGATTATTGGAATCCAGTCTTGCTACCTGATGTATAGAGCATGGTACAGAAGGCAGARTAGATGCCAGTACAGGCAGTAACTCCCTCCCTTTGGGRAAAACAAACAAAAAACSCAAACCAYCATTGCATGGCATTCTGGTTTCATCCTGTGACACTCCAGGATCACAGACAGCTTCCTGCTTACCCTGATTTTGTGCTGTCCTGGTCTGAGTGGTCTGGAAATTAATGACTGTTCTTTTTTGACCATGACAGGGAAGTAAATTAGAGAAATAAAGAAGRTGCCTATGGAGTTGCAAATTAACATAAACCCTGTTTGCAGAAATAGAAGAGTGCAATTTATTTAGCTGAAACCTCTGCAACATATGTGCAAGTATTTAATAGACAGCAAAAGGCTGGAGTGGTGCCAGCAGTGTGTGATGATAAGCAGTGAGTGCTGCAGCCCATCAGGCAGTGCTGCCCCCTTACCTTTGTCAGGAAAGCTTTGTCTCATGGCATTAACAGTAGCAGCAGCTGCCTGACTCTGATCAACACTGTGACTGATCCTACAGCCTGCAGTGAAACCGCCTGTGCTGGCTGTGACCATTATTTAAAAACCTTTCCAGGCTGCCTGACGTTTCTTTGCAGTTCTTTGGAGCTTAAAATGAACCAAATGTGATCCATCTCCTATCAGGTACCTCAGTGTCAGAAATTAACTGGTTTGCAGTAATAAATGAGCCCATTGGAGCAGCTGCTAAGGCGAGGAGCTCTGTCAGTTATTGCGATTGTCGCCTTCTGCTGTTGACAGTTCTGGAGAGCTGGTACCAGCTCTACCTTGGCAAAGGCTGCAGATAACTCAGCTATTTTTAAACACAATCAGTGCATTTTTGGTTTTAAACATGATCAGTCCATTTTTGCTGAGCAGCTGGMTCACCATCTCTTTTTCTGCTTGAATGTTTCAGCAAACACACGAGGAGAGCTCCTGTACCAGTGCATTAGGGCAGCTCTAATTTGGTTCTTGTAGGACTTTGTCACTACCCTGAGCCTTCCACAGGAGAGGAGAAGTCTGGCATTGWGACAGTGCTGCAATGGGGAGCTTTGCTGAGTCTCTCTCGGCACTTCTCTTCTATTGTTATAAATAAAGCTCCCTTCTGTTGCTGTCAAGGGTAAAATATACCCACAAAACAGAAAATTAATTCCTATTTTCCAGTTTAACACCATAAATTGCCCCCAATTGTATTACTGTCAATTAAAAAGATGCTTTCACCTGTCCCTTCTCACTGAGTGACACCACTGGTTGGTCACTCTTGGCATTTCCCTGTTGACTCTTGTATTTCCTCAACTCCTGCCCTTCCCATTCCCCTGGCAGCCACTCCAGAGAGAGCCCTGGGCTTTTGACAGCTGATKACTCCAACCCTCCATTTGAGATAAACATCCTTTTGAAAGGCAAGGCAACCAGGAATGCAAGAGGAGTACAGTCTGAACTTAAAGGACAAACAGAATTCTATTTGAAATTTACTATCACAGTCTTATATTTTCTATGTAGAAGCACCAGATGTTAATGAGGAAAAGCTATGGAAAAGCTGTTAACACATCAGCAGGGCTGCAGKTTTTGAGCCTTTGTCTTGTGCTTAGTGGCTGCTGGGATGCTGTGACTCTCAATTAATTGTGGTTGTTTTTTCTGTCACGGGGCAGGTTCTTCAGTGCACATGGATCAGCCTTGCTGCCAAGCCCTCTATGACTTCGAGCCAGAAAATGAAGGCGAGCTTGGGTTTAAGGAAGGGGACATCATCACTTTGACCAATCAGATTGATGAGAATTGGTATGAGGGGATGTTAAATGGAGAGTCTGGCTTCTTCCCCATTAATTATGTTGAAGTGATAGTTCCCTTGCCTCAGTGATTGTGTCATTYGAGCTGTGAATATGATTTCATGACTGAAATGGATTCACAAATGTTCTGTCAGTGTGGCATTCTGTGAAAGCCTTGCTMTTTGACTGACTTACTGACTTTTGTATGCGTCTTTTTAAAATGTATTTATTTTATATTCAAAAAAAATTTCACCTTCCCTGATTTGTCAACCTGCAAAAAAACCCATACCCAGTTTTTTTGCTTTGTGCCTTGAAGATCACTGTATGAAGTGTTTACTGGTAGCTCACTGTTGCTCCAAAAATGCATTTCCTTGCTCTTATTGTATGTGGATTTTTTTATCTTTGGCTGCAATGATTTTACTATTGAAAACCATTTTTAAAAATACTGTTAGTGAAGCTAACTGTAACCAGTTCCTAAGTTACTGATGTCACTGAGCTCTTTTCATCTCTCACACTGTAAATTATTGTGGAAAAGTTAATACATCTTTTGCATTGTATGTTGACAAAAGGCAAAGTGGTTGTTGTCAATATTAAGATGATGTTGTACTAAGTACAAGTTCTCAGCATTGAAAATTCCTATAATTTACTGACCAAACTGAATAAATATTTCTGTGGGATAAGAAGCGTGGTTGCTGGTTCTGTACTGATGGTTTTAACACTTACTGAGCAGGAGGCCACGTTTGCTGAACTCATTGGCTTTCAGTGACAAAAACAATACTACATTAGAAAATGCATGAATAAAGAAAGAGTTTTATGATACCTGCACTAGAATTTTAATAATTGTGCTACTTCTATATTGATTATTCAGCCTTTATGTCTGTTAACATTTTTTCCTAGCAGAAGGAAAAGAGACAAATTCCTTGGAGCAAAGTACAAACTGCTCCTTGTGCCATAGGGCTCGTGTAGAACTCCAGTGAGAGAAGGGGGTGAGTAACACCAGTGCCTACTGCAAACAAATGAAAAGTCAATATGCTTCTATTTTTAATATTTAATTGAAAGGGATGGAATGGAGGAGAAAGAGAAGATTAGATGGTGGTGGAAAGATACGTGATAACTAAAATACACCAAAAAAGCCTCAAATAAGGGACAAATTCTGGCATCTAAGTACTTATCCAAATGAAGATAGAATCACTCTGTTTTTCTGTTTGCCATCTCCTGCTTTGCTCAGTAATGGAGCAGGGACCAAAGKGAGCAGCTCTGGAGGAAGATGTAGTGTTTGGCTAACTGCTCTCCATCCAAGACAAACTGAAGGGAAGAGAGCTGAATTCTTTATGGGCAAGCTGTCTACTGAAGATTCCTCTTAAATCAAGCTCAGAGCAATTCAGCTCTAGTCAAACTAAGTAACATATATATAACTGTAGGGCAGAGTGCATTTCTGAAGGTTCCTGCACTCTGCAGTCCCTAAAGGCACCAGTTTTATTACATYGGAGTCTTTTGAACCACTCAACAGAAATCATTGAACAGAGAGACCTTTATTATTTTATCTGCAAATATTTAAATCCAAGACTGCTTTTATATACATGAAAAATATCTTTAATAGTTACAAAAGTTTTAAGAAATCAAGATAAATACAGCAAAGTTAGAGCAGCAGCTATTTCTATTTGAGGTGGAACAAGAATTTGTATCTGCTAAAATCCTAGTATTAAACCAGCATCTATGTTTGATGGCTCAAAATTAGAACTTTTAAATAATGKAAGAGTTTAGGCTACCCTAAGGAAAACCTCACCTTAACACCAGCATCCTAACACAAAGCAGCTCTTGAATCTGGAACTGAACACTTTGGCAAGGTTAAAGACAGTCAAACGCTATTCCAGCACTGAGATAAATTGCAGGCTCTGCTGCTCCCTCCCCTCCTGCTCTGAGCTGCAGCTTTGCCGTGTGTGGCTCCAAGCCCCTCCTTTGCCCCAGGCCAGCAGGGGAGCARTGTGCTGGGGACACAGAAGGACTGCAGTGTCACCAAGTGCACCTCCTGAGGGGTACAGGACAGGCTTTGCACAGAGCACAGAGCCACCARAGGGGATTGCCCATGAACAGCATTGCCCCTGGTTTACTGTTAGACACACATATCCCTGCATGGGGGTCTAGCACAGAAGGCTCCAAGAACAGCCAGTTTGATGCATTTGGCACTATGGTTGGTGCCTTCTAGTTTTGATTTAGTATATTTTTCCTTCTAGCCCCTTAGAAAGCTGCTGTTGGGACATTCAAACAGTGCCAGCAGCACGAGTCACAGTCACAGTTTACCTGCTCTGTCAGAATGAGATGCCATTTCACATTTACAGGATACATCTGTCCAAGCTAAGGCTGCTGTGATACCCTGYATCTAGGAATATACAATACTGAAACTGCAGGATGTTCAGGTGCTAGAATAGAGAAACAGTACATTTAGTAACAGGCAGGAATATTTATTACAACTTGCTTTTAAAGTGTTTCATCTAGGAGATGAGCTAGAGCAGTTTCATGTATTTCTGCATCAGGATCTGAGCAGGAAACATTACAGACACTCATCACTCTTCCAGGTAAAGTTTTACTTCCGACTTGCTTAAGATGCAAGAGTGTGATGGGTCCCATGTTTCCCACTGAGACTTAAAAATTACCTTTGGAGAAACACCATGCCAGAATACTGAGAAAGCTGAGGCAGCCTCATGTTCATTGTCAAGTATTTAACATCCTTCTAGGACACATGTTTAGAAGCTTTGTAAACTCTGTACCCTCCTCTGTTTCAGCAGGTCATGGAAACCAGATCCTTGTGTAAAAGTAAAAAGAAAAGTCACTTCACATGGAGCTTGTACTTGTACTGCTCTCTGTATCAGTGAATCCAAGGCCACGGTCCAGTATCAGAAGGCAGGAAATTCCATCATGTTATGGACAAGGCTTCTTACAAAGACATCAGATAGGATATGTGAATTCCAAGTTCCAGATATTACAGATAGCMGAACTTATATGGTCTGTGTCACCTGGGACTGAGAGGTGTTTTTAGATGATTGTCCACATTACATGACAGAACAGCTAGGATCTTCATTTTGCTGCAGAGAGAAAACATAAAAACATTAGGTTAATTAGCATCTCTGCAAACTGAGTATTTCTTGCTGGTTACCTATTTGAGCCTCAAGGAAGCAGGTACGGTTTTTAGCACTTTGTAGATTTAGTTATTAATAAAGCAAAGCAGATTTTCAAGAGAGGCAGTACATGAACTGCACTACACAAGCCTTTAAGAATTTGAGTCCATGCAATACCTGAGCTGTGCTTTCCTTARTGAAAGGCCAAACTACTCATCCCTATCTCAGTTCCCAAGCAGCAGAACTTCAGTGGCATGCAGATACATGCTGCTCTCGTTAGGATGGTTAAAGCAGAAGCAATAAAGCATGGAAAGCCTGCCTTCCTTTAAAGCCCAGCATGCATTCTTGCCATTGTTTTACTGCATGCAACAAGTTAACTTTTGTTTACTAAACAGCCATTTCAGTAGCACCAATGCAGCAGAAGCCTATAGGTACTAATGTCAGAAGTTTGATAGGATTTCAGCAAACAGGAATGGCATTGAAATTTGATTGGAAGTATTAGAATTGATTCTTACCATAAATGCCACACAACTGTATTGTAAAGTTGCTGATAAAACAGATTAGAAGTGTAAGGAGAAAAGTTACTTTTGCTTTTCATCATTGATTACCAAACAARCCACATTAGTGAACTCAAAAAAATGCCTTCTAAAATAAAAAGAAGCCACTGTTGAGGAGAGGCCCTATTCTGAATATGAAAAGAAACTCCTACCACTGSGAGCCCAAAGGGCAGAACAGCATTACAGCCCTTCTCATAGCCTGTTTAACAGGGTCTCACCATCCTTCAGTGAGAGACTGAAAGTATTACAAGAATGTGCATGCAAGTCAGGAGACTGATAAGCATCCTTTAAGCCACATGGTATTGTAGTAACAGATATTTACCCACATTTTGTGTGTGAAAAGCCAAAAAAAAAAATTAGTGGCAGGCAGTAACTGCCTGTAGGTTTTATTCAGAAATACAGTAGTAGGGTACTTTTAAAGTTAGTTTTCRGACAGATACATTATGAAAATATCCAGGAAATGGTGGTGGGAACTTTAACACCTAGTGCAGTAAGATACAAGTGCTCCTTGTAACTGTGTAAGATCAGTTTTAGGGAGAGCTGTGGTAGCTGGACATGTTGCAGCAGGAAGGACAGAGTTTTTAGCCAGAGATCCCCTTGCTCTCAGGCTGTGGAGTTTGTACCAGCAAAGGGGACAGTGCTATTTCAGGTCAAGACACAAACCAACCTCAGTCAAGTACAGTCTGAAATTGTTTGGTTATGACCAACTTAAAGCCCTTGTATTAGTTGGTTTAACCATTTCAGCAATCAATGAGAGCTGACTRCTATTGTATCAAAATACAGTAGGAGCATCCAATATGCATCAGCTCAGACTTATATTATGGTCAGTCAAAAGCCAGTTTAAGGGGCTGGAGTCTCACACAGTATTATAAACATGTAAGTTTGTAGCCAAAAGTTTGTAAGTATATTGACCTTAAATTAACACTGAAGTMATCTTAAAAGCAAGCCAGGACACAAGGAATAGTTACCTTTGCATTCTGTTCTTTGGCTAACAGCTTTTATGTTAATTCACAGTCAGCTATTTAGATGAAAAAGACATTAAAGGCTGTATTTTTCAGTGTCAGTAATAAGGTATCAAATAATTAATGCTACTGTTTGATCATACTCAGAGAATACGCAAAACTTCAGTTGCATTTCCAATGCAAAGCCATGCAAGCTAGGTCCTACRTGGGACAAGGGACTGCAGCACTACTGATGAAGCAAGTTCACTATGAGGTGACAAGCATGATTCTCACCATCTCACCTGCTTAAGGATGCTCACAGGAACCACTATCATGAAACCAAACAACATTTCTTTTTTCTTCTTCTTTTGGTCTGACATCAAGAAAAACATTAAGAGTTGTGGGATATGAAKAGTACTTGAAGTGTATTTTCATTTAGTAAGGAGAGCTGGCCATTGAATGACTCTGCTGACAGCATATATTTAAACTGTAGGCAGCTTACCTGAGATACAAACTCTGCTTCACTTCCAGTTATTTCTTCATAATCATCATCTTCCTCACTTTCCTCTCCTCTGGGTACAAGCATTATCTTCCTCTCYGCGAGTTCCTAGGATACAATTGAATTAGCACCAAGGCCCCTCAGCAATCAGACACAAGCAAGATCTGCATTAGGATAGCAGAAGCTTTTTATTACTCACTTACCTCACCGCCATCTGTGATAAGCGTAACACCAATATTATCCCCAGTTCCCCAAGACTTCTGAGACTTCCAGACCAGATCACAAGGACCTGGGCTTACACCAGCAGCTGCACCCCAGATCTGCAACAGATTTAGAGTGAGCKTCTGAAGAATCTTTTCTGTAGTGAGATTAGGATTCAGTCTAACACATGTAATAATCTTGATATTTTAATACAAAAGAAGTCCACTAGCAGAAACGGAACCACTCTAATCCCTGGCAAGTTAGTTCTTTTCAGAACTACCAAGAGTGGTGGTTAAGTTTTTCTAGCTGAAGACTGAAACAGTGCAGAAAAAGCTGTTAACATGTCCCACTTAGTCCTGCTTGGCCATGCAGAACATTGGAGTCACAGAGCCAAGCCACAGTCACAGACATGCACAGAGCAGCAGTTTGTGTGTACAGAGCCTCTCGCCTGGGGTCACTCACATCTACTGAACAAACTCCTCCACACTTTGGAGTAGCAAATGTAGAGTCCGTTCTTCCATCACCATCTACATGTACATAGAGTATGATTCTAGAGCTAGTATTTAGCTTAGTACTACCTGAGCTGGAGTAGACTAAAGATTTTAGCAGGAGTGGGAATCTGCACAACTTTTATCAAGTCAAAGGAGTATGGGAAACCCTAAGAAAAAAACAGGATACAATGATTCTGTTTCCAGTTAGAGCACACTCCATTCTGRGATAATATAAATTCAGTCCAGGCTTTAAAGAAAATTTAATTAGCATTTCRGATCAAGTTGCTGCAAGGATTTTTCCCCACATACATCTCTGCACAAAATAAGAACTTTAGTTCTTTAGACACTTGCAGTACTTGTCTAGTTTTCCATATAACAGGAATCTCTACGGATATCTAATGTAAGAACAGATCTCTGAGTTTTACAAACCCAATACCTACTGTTTTACAAACCCAATACCTACTGTAACTACTTGGCCTGCCTGAAGAGTGAACCGTGAAGGAAACTTGTAAGTAACATCTGCCACAGTTCCAATACGCCGTCTCAACACCCARCCATGTAGAGGTTGATCCTGTGGTACAAGACATTTCTCTCAGCTTTACAGACCAACACCATATAATTCAAACACAAGGTTCTTTCCAGACCCAGACCCAYGGGCCAGWTTTAATCTCACTGCTGTAGCATACWAGTATCTGACAATCTTGAGGAAGCAGCCACATTTCCATTAAAGCCTCCTATACTTTAGGATTAATCTTAGTCCCACAAATTAAGCCACACTTGTTCTTACCTTCAATTAAAGGGGGGTCATGATGCTCTTTACCAGGGAGACTCTGATGAGTGAAGTTTGCCATGGCCACCTACCAACTTGAAGCTTGAAGCTTCACTGTGGGCTGACGTGGCTAAACCCCAAGCCACGTGTTTTGAAGTCCTGCTGATGAATTCTAATAGTGCTGGATTTGCAAACTAAACTAGTCAAAGAACTAGCTAATTGTTCAGATAAACCCTCTGCATGGATTRGATATCAACTCCATTCAACCTTTTAGTTGTTTTAATTATTTTTGACTAATAAGAAGCTATSTTTGTCCAATTTACTAAAGCACCCTACCTAGCTCACCAAGGATAAGCAATAGTTGTATAGTGCTGGCCTGAATCTGATGACAAACAGCTGAAGGTGTTCGATTTCTGCATAATAGAACTGCCTTTAGCTCCCAGGCAGCCCTGGGAACAGAACACCTGCAGTACCAAAAGGTCAGTCTCTAGTCTGTCACTGAGCTAAGGCAATCTCCAAGCAGTCATACTTTGCAATGCAGACTTGAAAATGAAAGTACCTCATCAGAATGGTTTTTAAGCCTGACAAATTTCCCATCTGCATCGATCTCTTCAATAGATATATTTCCAGTAGCTGAAACATGCTGAATAGTCTTAAATGCAGCACTGTGCTCCCTCTTTTTGGCTTCTTTGAGTTTCCTTTTCTTGCCATGCAGGAACCGTCGCCCCTGACTTGCTGCCTGAGTTGCTGTGCTGTGGGCAGATGGACTGGGCGACAGCTTTAGCCTAGAAGAGAGTAAGATAAATTCACTGAAGATCTGACTTGCTCTGTTTCTTCTCACTCCTACCCTCCCCCTATATCCAAACCTAATAGCTTCCTACATCCAAGCTTTCCATGGGGTCTTCAACACAAAAATTTACTTTTCTTGGCAAGAGTAGCTAAGTTTGGAAGACAGCCCCAGCCCCAGAGTTCAGAGCAAGCCTATACTGATAAGAGAAGTCTCAATAGACACAAACTTCATTCAAAGTAATTTTAAGCTTTTGACCCTTCTTAGCATGTACTGAGAGTTCATGTTCTCACCAGACACGAAAGATACCATGTCTGCATAGACAGGAGTTGATCCAAGTTCCCAGTTTCATTCATGGAATTTGAGTGCTCTTTGATATATTTCCAAGATGTAGCACACAACTTAGAGAGCTGAGGAATGTTTAATAGGCCTTTGAATTTTATCAGCCGTGTTTATGAAGTTACTTCCTTTCACTACGCCATGAGGTAGATGTGGGATATAAATACCATTTACAGAAGATGACTCTTCATTGACTGAATTACTGCACTAATGGTGTACCTAATGTTTGTTTCTTGTCTCCTCCACATTCTGAAGGATAAACCATTGGTGCAGAGGTCTTGGATGGAGCAAGTTCTCATAATGAAGATCTTGTTATAGCCTACCTTTGTTCCTCTCCTTCCAACATCTTTCTGTATGCATTTATTTCCAAATCTAGAGCCAGCTTCACATCCAAGAGATGCTCATACTCTTCCAGCTGTGCTTGTGCCTGTTTCTGAGCTTGTGCCATTTCTTCCTCCTTTTCAGCCATACGCCTTCGATGGAGATCACGATCATAATCCAGCAAGTTCTGTAGCTCCTTTATTCTGCTCTCCAAAGCAAGATTCTAAAATTAAGGGGATGAGGGAAAAAACAAATCATAAGTGAAGATTAGAGAGAAGAGGCCAATATTTTAAATTGAGAGTAAATTAAAATAATAATAAGATTATACAAAAAATACAGCACCTGGCTTTGATACTGATTAATTTGAGATACCAGAGYATCAACTCTCTTCTGTGTTTCCATCAGCTCCTCCCGAGCAGCAATGGCAAACTCATTGTTTCTTGCTGCAGCTTGCTGGGCATTCTCCATCTGGGGATAAATCACTGTTAGTAATGAGTTGTATTAACCATTTTAAATAAGGAAGGAAAACCAAATAATTGTTACCTGCTACACCTGGTAATAGTTATTTTTTACTGAAATGTGTAGGTACCAGTAAGTCCAGGCCGGAAAGTTTTGTATTGCTTTCCAGGAAGGTTTACACAAGTGTGACATTTATGGCAGAAAATGACAGCCATAATCAGATAGTGAGAATTGCTGGATTAGGATATTTCAATTAGTGATGCATGAGGACTTTGTATACTTAAGTAAATTGACTCTCCAGAAGACCAATGGAGAATATCTTTAGAAGCTGCTTGTCAAAGCATAGGGCTGCAGGATATTGGGTGTACAAATCAAATTATTATCAGTCTTCCCCAAAAGATCTATTATTAATTAGTTCCTGCATCATTATAAGTAGCTCCAAAACAGCTCCACTGAATTGCTCTACAAATAGCTCAATCTTGAGAAGAAAGGACAAAGTGCTCCCACAAGAAGCACTTAGAGAATTTCCAGTGGAAACAGAACCACAAGCATCTAAAGGAATTCCCTGAGTTGACATACAAGTAGGTGYGTAGGAAAAGCTAGGTTTTATTCAAGACTGAAATAGCTTAATACAAACATAACACACCTTGGTCCTGAATCTGTCAGAAGTCTGAAATATGATCAACTTTTYCTAATCACTCGGTGTATTTATGCTTGAATCAGTTTTGTTTAGGATCAAACATTTGCAGAAATCCTACTGTCAAATTTGACACTGCTTTGAAATTCCCTAAGAACTTAGTTCTTAGAACTAGTTCAGYGCCAAGAAGCTCTGCAGTGAATGCAAGGGCTCCATCAGTCATCTGTCTRTGCCTGTGACCTTAATTATGTCAAGGTGCAAAGAACTTCAGCTTTCTTTTAYTGTCATCTTTTGCAAACTCACCTTTGCACTGAATGTTCGCTCCATCTCCTCTTTGTATCCTTGAATTTGTTCTTCATGTTGTTTCCTGAGCYCCTGCAGAGCATCTGAGAGCTTACTCTCAAATTCTCTTTGCCGGCCGGATTCTACTTCTGCTATCCTGCCCTCATGTACTCTTTTTGTCTCCCTGAGCTCCTAGGAGAAGAAGAAATTTMTCAGAGAATAAACAAGCCAATACAGTTTGAAACTAGATTTAGTGTATCAGCTTTACAAGTCCTTCACTATTGAAGCAGATTTATCATTGAATACACAGTAATTCATCTTTACACATATCTTATTCATTGTCTTATTCATTCACAGTGCTGCATCACTATTGTTTTTCYACCTCACATTGCTCCAACTAATAAATGTAGTAAATATTTAATTTGTAAGACTAATTCTTTGAACTAGGTAGATTCTGGTTGGCTGTTTGGTGGTTTTTTTACCTTAGAACACATGMATATACACTTCAGTTTCTTTCAGCACTGTTATTTCACCTATTCTTGTTTWATTCAAAAACTAATAATACTTGGTTAGAGAAATTAGAATTCTCTACCACTTAAACCACGCACTTTTTGATTCCTGCCAGTGAGAAGGAAGCTGGTTTACAGTCATAGGTAAACTATTCATTTAGTTGTAAGTACTGACTTCTGTCACAAAGGTTACCAGACACCTCTGAGAAGTGTTAAGGAAGTTGGGAACAAGTTGGGAACACGTTTCTTAAAAGAGATTTAACTTCTTCAGTTACTTTAGGCTTCAAGTAAACATCTGGAATCATTTAACAGTAACTAATATATGTACTTTCACTTACACAAAGTAACATGTTGGGATTTAAAGTTATCTTTAAAAGAGCAGCCTAAGAAAATTCTTATACTCCAGATAGCTATTGGTACTATCCCAGTTAACAGGAGGTTGTGTACTTGGAGCCTCCCTAGCTAGGGGGATTTTATTAGCTGATGGGCTGCCGTAGGTTGCTAAGTTACTTTTTTACACAAAAGCAATGTTAAGATGGGCTTTAAGTGCATCCAGGGATCATAGACACCTAAAAAGATTCCTTGTTAATAAGYTAAAACATACATCTTCATGAAGGCGCTTCTGGAACGTCATTTCTTCCTGTAAACTTTTCATGTGATTTTCTAGGTCCACCCTCCTCAGCATTTCACTGTGGAGATGCTTGTTAGTATCCTCCAGTGACAGATTCAGCTAGAAAAGACAGGCAGAAGGGTTAGCAAAACTAAGAGGTATTTTTTCAAATTAGGGCAGCCAATTTGTTACAGACCGTTCAATTTCATTCCCACAGCAATCAAAATACAYTGGTTGAGTGCAGTGGATTACTCTATTTCAGTGTGATCCAGAATATCAGCAACATATAGACTTCTGTTTAATTGTTATGTAGACCAGATTTCCCACAAGGCAAATACAGAACAGTCCTTAATCCCACCAGCTAAACTTGACTCCTCAAAGTAGATACCTGGTGAATCAATTGTACTATCCATATATATTCCTCCTTTACAACTATAATTATTCTAAACTTCTTCGTAAATTCTATATAATTTTTTGACAATGAATAAAATCGTCCAAATGCAGCCTATGTTGACTAAGTCTTACACACTTCCAATATTATATACTTCCCTGATGTGTTAGAGAATGCTACAGAGACTATAGCAGTACATTTCACCTTGCTTTGACTTCAGAACAAGAAGCATTAGATCATAAGGACCTACAATTAAAGGCACCTGCAGCAGATGGAAGTTTTAAGCAAACCACCATCAGTGGCATTTGCTTTCAGCATGACTGTGGAAATCTTTTTGTCTGCCCATCACTGCCATATTCAATGGGCTTTCTCTGCTTTTAAGTATCAATAAGTAATTGGAGGAAAACAAGCAAAACTGCAGGAGCAAAAGCAAAGTTTAGATTCCAACAGCAAGCCTTACACTGAGTACTTGATCCTTTAATTCACGGAGCTCATTCTCCAAAGTCCGGTTCTCATTCAGGGCTGTTGCTAAGTCAGCTTCCTTTGCATTTAGCTGCGCATCGAGGTCTCTCAGACGAGCCTGGGCCACGTTTAAGTCACTTTCCTTTTTTGAATTCCTACAAGTGAGAGTTTTACACTGTTAAGTGCAGTTGGTGAGGGAGAGATTGTTTTCAACGTGTGTCCCTTTAAAGGGGTGTGTGGTTAAAAACAGAAGAGGTTAGTCAGGCTCACGGTGGAACACAAAACAAACCAGACGGGGCCCTCCAACAAGCATCATTTGTTATAGCAGAGASATTCCTGACCCATTTTCCAGCTCGTTCTGAGCGAAGCCCATGCGGAAGCCAGCTATTTTCCACGGCATTCCCAACAGGAGCGGGAAGGGACAGCGCAAACCCGCGGCTCCACGGGGAGGAGGGTGACACTGAAAGAACGGAGCGGGACAAGC